CTTAGAAGCATAGGACATCCACCAAAAAGACTAGGATCAGCTGCTACACTTCACTGGTATTATCTAAAATGGTGGAAGAAGCACCATGAGCTCACAGCCTAGTAAGTATAATTCCTAACTTAAGAATCTCCAAGTCTGTTTTATGCATATCTGCAGTTTCTTTCTCCTACCCTTTCAGTCCATCTAACAAGAAAATATAGAAAATTGCTAAGTTAGTTGCCAGACACTGATATACTCCCTCAGACAAGTTAAGTGGGTTTTAAATGCTTCCTAGTTAGCCAAACTTCATCTTAGGACACCTGTTATTGACATTAACAGGTTAATAGACACCTAGACTCCGCTAATCTGATTCCTAAAAGGAAATGCAACCCAAAATTAATAATTCTTACAGAGTAGTCCTTAATTCCATAAATGGTTCAGGACCCTAACTTTTGACTTCATGCAAATGAAGACAGGAATATCACACTGAATTTCACAAGTCACTTGCAGACGTGTGTGCATAAATGTTAAACGTGTGCTTCCAATCACAACTTGGTGTTATACAAGCTTCACTTTTTCAGGTGGTTCCCTTTTTCTTTTTGATCGGAAGGTGGTGCCACACCTTAGAAAGGATGGACATAATTGGAGAAAGAAAAAAGATGGAAAGACAGTTAAGGAATGTCACGAGAGGCTGAAGGTAAGGACCAAAGATGCTGCATTTAGTTTCCTATTCTAACAAAGGAAAACACATCTCTGCAATTGATTGAGACACAATTAAGTGATGCCTATTTGCTGGAACTTCATTCTTTGGTTATCATAATGAATTCTGGTTGGGAAGCTCAATTTTTATGAATTCTTCCGCTTTCCATGTAATATATTTAACAAGCTTAAAACCTTTCAGGTTGGAGGTGTTGATGTTCTGAAATGCTACTATGCCCATGGAGAGGGAAATGAAAATTTTCAACGACGGGTTTATTGGATGCTTGAAGAGTGAGTCTGTGAAGTTTAATTCCCTTTTTCTTAGTAGTCATTTGCATACCTTGTGTAGAATTTATACAAAACAATTTCTTTTGTAGGTAAGACAATACTCAATGTCCATGGGCCCTGGCTTAGTGGGAACCTTTTATATGCTGCTACATAAATAAGCATTTCTTTTCTTTTGTTAGCAATCATATGACTAGCCATCAATTCTTTTACCTCCCCAAATTGTACTTGGCTTAGGAAGTACCTCATCCCACCCCATTCCATTCTAACTGAGATAATGCATGAGCATAAATATGGATATAATTCTATGGTTTATTCCTTAGCAATGATTGTTAATTCCTCTCAGATGATAAATCTTGATTTTGATAATTTTTTAATGTTGGTTTATTTATTGCAAATCCTAAGACTTTACTGTCAGATTTGTTCGAAATTTAGAATCCTGTAACAGAATTCTTTTTCTGTCCTGAACTTCTAGATACCTTCTGTCAAATGGAGTCAAATTTTGGTAACTCACAAGTGTTTGATTACTAAAGCATAAACTGAACAGAGTGCTTATATTCTGATAGGGATTCTCAGTTGTTTCCAGAACTTGGATTTCATAGTATTCAAAGTATTGGGCGGCAGTTTCTTAACCTAGCAATTGCTAGTTTCAGGTTGTTTTCAGTCTCTGTCTTCCTTTTCTGACATAAATGACAACTTTTGCAGTGAACTCTCAAGCATTGTTTTTGTCCACTATCTGGAAGTAAAGGTAAGATTTTCCTATCCCAAATGGTTTAGATATTGGACTGCCCAATATAAACTGCCAGCTGACTGATATCTAGAGAGTGTAGTTGTGAAAAGTGATGTGTTGGCCCCTTGAAAAACATAATTTGGTTACTATTTCACATAATGAACTGGTTTAGGTACAAGGACATGTGTTCATTATGTTTCATTTTTCCTCTACTTTTCAATTTTGTGTGCAAAACAGCAGCTAGTAAAATCTAATTTTATGGACTTCAATTTTGGTTTCAGGTATTGTCAGTCATTAGAATTCATGGTTGAAAGATATTATTGTATACCTAGTATTTATGGAGAGTTATATATAGTATATCATACAATTCTCTTTTACCTCTTATTTCTAAAGTACATATTGGAGCATGCAGATAGATAGCTAGTGATATAGCACCTGCAAGGAATTTTCATTGGCTCTAGGCCTCTAACTCTCTACAATCCTTACAGAACAGAGCCATATCCTGTTTAGGAATGTGAACTTTATTCCTTGCTTTGTACCTGGTGTATGTCACGTCTCCCTTTTTCTTGGTCTGGCTGTCCGGGGTCTCTGGGCTTTACGTCTTGCGACTGTTCAAGTCTGGTTCTCTTCTTTATCCTGAACCATCCCAGTACTTGCTAATAGAGTAGTCCTTCCTATTGAGACATATAGCTGTTTTCAGAGTAGCCTATATTGTATTTAAATCCACAGGTTTCCGTAATTCGCAGATGCGGGATGTTTCCATTTAACACCACTCCTTGTGTAGTCCACTGCACTGTCATGACTCATAACCACAGCCTTCTTCTGGGTCCCAAACTTGCAGCAACTCTCTTGGGTTGCACACATGGGCTGGGCTTGCAACAAGCCAACAGCCTCCCTTATGTTGCACACTAACCAGGCTTACAATAACCTCCCTTGGGTTGCACACACAACATTGGTGGGCCTATGATCTGATAACATTTAAACATCCACCATAAAACCAATTGATGATAAATGGAGTTTCCACAAATTTCCCTTAAATTCACCTATGTGGATTTTTCCCATGTAACAGTTTTAGGGGGTGTTTGGTACAGGTTTGAGGTTAGCAGTTAGCTGTTTGAACTAATTGAAGGAATAACAATATCTGGATTATAAATAACAATAACTATCAGCTGTTGGATATTGGCTGTCTGCCATTTTTACTTTTGAACCACTAATCCAAACATCTCCTTAATAAGAAAATCAAAGTATTGCTTGCTTATGTGCCTGCTTTGAAACTATATTTTACTTCCTTTCTCGTGCATTAGTGCCTTTTTTTTGGATCATTAGTGCTTGAACCACACAGCGTGATGGGATCTGATCTGAACTTATTTCTAAAACTCCAACGTCTGCCAATATGGATGATCTGGATCTGTAACTTTTAATATATCCTTTAGTCTCCTACTCTCCTCAACAGCCTATTTATTTATTTTCTTTTTTTTTTTTTAAATTTCTGAAACTTTATCAGGGAAACAGATCAAATTTTAATCAAGTTAGAGAGAATGAAGCTGTCACTACATATTCTAAGTCTTCCAGATTCCGTCCAACTAATTGCCAAGTGCCTTCAGCTACACATACTGCTGATACAACAAGTCTGAATAGTGCACAGGCATTGGAATATCAGGATGCTGAATATGGTGAATTTGTTTTAGCTTCAATATGTCAAAGTTTCTGATATTTTCTAAA